GTAGAGTAAGACCTTGCAAGGATACCATATATTTGTTGATGTGGTTCATAAGTGTTTCTCGTTTTTTATATAGATTAGACCCTTGGTTTTCCTGATTTTGGCTTATATCTCTGAAACCAAAGCATTTAGAGCAAATCTGACAGGGGTAAAATTGTTCATCAGGTCAAGATCTATCTGCCCTGAAATTTTCAGATGAATCTGACAACCCGTTGTTGGGTTGCTGCCCCTGAATTGGTAATTTTAAGAAAATTTTGCCGTTTTTGGTTATTATCTTGAATATTATTATAGATAGAGATAAACTGTAAACAGCAATAATGTTCAGCAAAATAAGATCTACAAATAAGTCAACTTGACCAAAATGGTCAGTTGACCCCTTAAGGAGTAATTACCCTTTATAGTCAATTTTTAACCATTTTTCGTAAATTTTTGTAATCTTTTACAAAAATCTTCTCCTCTGAAACTACTAAGACAAATTTAACCAAACTTGTCCACAATCATCATTAGGGTATCTAGTTTAAAAAATGTGTCCGATGACCCTGCCCATGAACCAAGATGGCCGACATGGCTAAATATAGTACATAGGGTAAAATGCAGTTTTTGGCTCATATCTCTGAAACCAAAGCATTTAGAGCAAATCAGACAAGGATAAAATTGTTCATTAGGTCAAGATCTATCTGCCCTGAAATTTTCAGACCAATCAGGTAACACGTTGTTGGGTTTCTGCCCCTGAATTGGTAATTTTAAGAAAATTTTGCAGCTTTTGGTTATTATCTTGAATATGATTATAGATAGAGATAAACTGTTAACAGCAATAATGTACAGCAAAGTAAGATCTACAAATAAGTCAATATGACCAAAATTGTCAATTGACCCCTTAAGGAGTTATTGCCCTTTATAGTCAAATTTTTACAATTTTCATAATTTTTTAAAATTTTTGTAAAATTTTACAAAATATTTTCCACTGTAACTACTGGGCCAAGTTCATTATAGATAGAGATAATTTTAAGCAGCAAGAATGTTCAGTAAAGTAAGATCTACAAACACATCACCATCACCAAAACACAATTTTGTCATGAATCCATCTGTGTCCTTTGTTTAATATGCACATAGATCAAGGTGAGCGACACAGGCTCTTTAGAGCCTCTAGTTTATAATTTTTTGTTTTCATATATACCGGTACTTTAACAGAAACCCTCCCTCTTTTCCACTGTTGGCAGTCTTTCTTATTTCTATAAAGCAAAGGTATACTCAGACCTGCTAATTCAATCCATTCTGCGATAGTATTACACCAGTTTTGGAACTAAATACAATTTTATGTGCTTCACCACTTACCAAAAGAAAATTGGATATTTACCCAGAAAATCATTACGAACACCTTCTATCAAAAGATGGAAAAATAACATGTTGGCATGGCAACTTATAAATGTTAATATCTAAAAAACATCTCTAGAGATCACTTGTATCGAATCTTATGTAAAAATTCCGAATTCGAAAATTTTAATAGGTCAAGGTCATTGTTATTTAACAGCTGAATGAAATTTGTAAATGTGCACCCTATAAGTACAAATGTTAATCTCGAATCATATTTGGCAGCATAAATATCAAATAAGTCCTTAATATAGAAACTATAGTTATAATCCTTTGAATTATTCGAATTTATTTTGCTATAAATGCATATATGTAGGGGCGGCCAGCTGTCTAAACTTGACTCTGCGTTTTCCTTGAAATTTTAGCTTTGACCTTTGACCCAAATTTAAGAAAATCGTGACAACTGTAGACAACAACGACATCAATATTTCGATGAGGCTTGTTCTTCTCTTTCCAATGATATGAATCACAGCCGTGTGTTATTCTGTTAACCCAAATCAATCAAATTCGTTGACTGGGCACCCTACTAAATAAGAACTATCCGCCAAAGTAAAAATAAGGAGATGTGGTATGATTGCCAACGAGAACTATCCACCAGAGTAAAAATAAGGAGATGTGGTATGATTGCCAATGAGACAACAATCTTCCAAAGTAAAAATAAGGAGATGTGGTATGATTTCCAATGAGACAACAATCTTCCAAAGTAAAAATAAGGATATGTGGTATGATTGCCAATGAGACAACTATCTGCCAAAGTGAAAATAAGGATATGTGGTATGATTGCCAGTGAGAACTATCTGCCAAAGTAAAAATAAGGAGATGTTGTATGATTGCCAATGAGAACTATCTGCCAAAGTAAAAATAAAGAGATGTGGTATGATTGCCAGTGAGAACTATCTGCCAAAGTAAAAATAAAGAGATGTGGTATGATTGCCAATGAGACAACTATCCGCCAAAGTAAAAATAAAGAGATGTGGTATGATTGCCAATGAGAACTATCCGCCAAAGTAAAAATAAGGAGATGTGGTATGATTGCCAATGAGACAACTATCCGCCAAAGTAAAAATAAGGAGATGTGGTATGATTGCCAATGAGAACTATCCGACAAAGTAAAAATAAGGAGATGTGGTATGATTGCCAATGAGAACTATCCGCCAAAGTAAAAATAAGGAGATGTAGTATGATTGCCAATGAGAACTATCCACCAAAGTAAAAATAAGGAGATGTGGTATGATTGCCAGTGAGACAACTATCTCCACTACGCGTTTCCAGGGAAACTCAATTTGCGACAGTAAAACTACTGATGGACGTCTGAACAGCTTCAAATAGAATACAGTTATCTCTAATCTAGTCTATCTTAATATATATATAAAATTAGTTTTGTCAAAGCAAACACTTTTGCATAACTGGTTAGTCGGATAATCTTTCGACCGATTATCAGAATAGCCTGTAGTTAAGTTGATTGATAAAATCTTTGTCTACAGTACTCTTAAAATATAAAAATAATATTAAAATGTGGTTTGATTGCCAATGACAACACTCAACCAGAGACCAAATGACATAGAAGTTAACAAAACTATATGTCACTGTACGGCTTATGACAATGAGCAAAACCCATACCGCATAGTCAGCTATAAAAGGCCCCTAAATGAAAAATGTAAAGTAATTCAAACGAGAAGACTAACAGCCTGACTTATGTACGAAAAAAAAATATGATATACAGCTACACAAGACTTCCACTGAATTACAGGCTACGACTTGGGACAGTCACATATAGAATTTGACGGGGTTAAATACATGGCTTCATGGTACGATGAATTGAAGTTTATTCTTAGCCATTATAAGGCTTGGCTTTTAGAATTCCTGTTTTAGATATTTTTAATAATCCAATACAACTATATCTACAGTAATAAATTCAGATTGAGAAAATGGAAATCTTCTGGATCTATGTGAATTGACAAAGTATGAACATTCTGTTGGGTATTTTAATTTGAGATGATTAAGCATGTTACTCTACTTCTCATATATATGTTAATTCCATTCACATAATTTGCATTTCCCGGTTTTTGAGTCGGAATTTCGTCTAAATTATGAGAAAACCTTGGACGATGGAAGTGGCATATTAAGGCAATATTAAATCAAAAATGAAATAATGAAGTAAACAGTAAAATTTAATCAGCTTATAATTGTTCAAAATACATACATGTATGATAATTATGTTCTAGAGTTATGCCCCTTTACAAATGGAAAAATTTCTGAAATTTTCATTCCGTTCTTTAACTTTAGTTTGACTCAACTAAATGTTATGAAACTTATGCACAATGCTTATTAGGGATTTTCCAGAATTAATTGTATGGGGGGGGGGGGGGGGGGGGGGCGGAAGGCACTTTTATTTAAATTTGATGGGTGGTGGTTATTTAAGAAAGATTGCTTGAACATTTAAAGGAAATAACCAATTAAAAAATTTTGCATGGTGGGGTCAAATAAAAAGTGCATTCCGACTTATGTCCCTTCATAACATTATATATGCAAGCGGGGGCATCATCTGTGTCCCATGGACACATTCCCTATTTATTTCAAACTATTATGAATTAATTTTTTAAAACTCTTACACTGAGCTTTGTATGGAACTATGAAAGGTTTTGACCTCTTTTTTTTTTTCATTTAATGACAATTATATAAAAATTCGGAGAAAGTTAACAAATTTTTAAACAGATGTGATGTAAACTGAAATTGAGCTATTTTACAATTTCAGTTTGAAGATCTATTAGTATTCATCTATTCAAGGTCGTGTCAATTTATAACTATAGATAAGTGAACATAATAGTCAAATTGAATTGGAACGATTAATAATTTAGTTTACCAAAAAAACTACAATGTTCATGTGAATATTAAAATTCTAAAAGGGGAGATAATCAAGAACTAGCTGCATGGTTCATTCTAGTAAGTAGCATTACACCAGTTCAGTGCTTTTTAATTCTTTTTTAACAGTATTAACACTTTTCACTCTGCAACTTCTATACAAAAATAACATGAAGAAATTACATATTTAATTTCATTTAAGAGTAAAAAGATAATAAAACATTGCAATCATTAAAATAGGAATTGTATATAACAATAGAGTTGTTAACTAAGAAATCAGCTGTATGAATGAAAGATGGGAGACAATGTTCTCACTAAGGCAGTCAATGAGTCATGGATTCATGAAAATTGGTCTGGACTCATCATTTTCAAAACTGATGATTCTAAAGATGCATAAGGATCATAAAATATTGTATCAACTAAGCATGTATATCATCATATCATTTTATAGCAAATTTAAAAAAAAGAATAATCAAATTTGATATCATTTCCTTTCTCTATTTTATCATGAAGACAAACAATAATTATGTAGCAATAGAATTTCATCTCACTGTTGAAATCACCATGGTCATAAATGAAGGTTCGCTGGACTTGCCTTCAGAAGTCCTTTGTCAGAATCCTAGGAGGTCTATGTCAAATCAGACAGCAACCAATCAATGAGAGATGTCAAAATGGTATTCAATGAGTCTTTATTACATGTTATTATTTCTACTTCAATACAAACATTCATATTTCCAGATTGAACATCTATTATTGATATTTATTTATAGACCCTTGTCCAGTCAATGTGATCCTCGTCCAGTCAACGTGACCCTCGTCCAGTCATTATCCTTGTCTAGTCAAGTTTTAATTATAGGTAAGTGTACATTATTTGTGAACTATATATATTCCTCTGATAAAACATTTATAATGGAAAATCCCTTTATTATCAGATTTAAAAAAAAAGGTTTATACTTGATTTAAGAGCGGCATCCAATGAAATTGCTTAGGGCTTTTCCAGAATTATTTGAATGGGAGTGGCAGGGGTGGGAGGGTGGGGACTTTTATTCAAATTTGATGCGTGGTGGTAATTTTAGACAGAAAGACTTAACAATTTTATTATTAAAGTAATCAATTAAAATTTTATGCATGGCGGTGTTAACTTGAAAGTGCATTCCTATGACCCCCCTTTTCCCCCCTGCTAACCATCATGGCCAACATGGCTCAAAATAGAATTTATGGTTAGAATGCAAGTTTTGTCTATTATCTTGAAAACTGCTATAGGTCGAGAAATTTTGACAGGCAGAAATGTTCAGAATGTTTACATCCACCTACTGTCCACTTGAATCGATCAAAATTGGCCTACAACTACTTATAGAAGTTATTACCTTTGAATGACCAATTGTACCATTTTTTCTTGCAAGGTCTACATGTCTGTCACACTGGATTCACCTGACCAGGAGTTCATTTCATGGATCAGTGATCAAGGTTAAAATTTCATGATGAAGTCCATATCTCGTATACCATAAGCAAAAGGTCAGCTATATTTGGTGTATGGAATGCTTGTATGGTGAACATGTTTGTCTGGCAGGATTTGCAGACCTTGATCTTATTTTCATGGTTCATTGGTCAGAATTAAGTTTTTGTGGTTTGGTCAGGTTCTCAGATACTATAAGCAATAGATCAGCTGTATTTTGGTTTATGGTATGCTTGTAAGGTAAACATGTTTGTCTCATGTGTCTTATCTACTTGGTTTATATGACCGTTACCTTATTTTCATGGTTCATTAGTCAGTGTTAAGTTTTTGTGGTTTGGTCAGGTTCTCAGATACTAAAAGCAAAAGATCAGCTGTATTTTCCTTTATGGTATGCTTGTAAGGTAAACATGTCTGTCTATCCACATGGTTTATATGACCGTTACCTTATTTTCATGGTTCATTAGTCAAGTGTTAATATTTCATGGTTATATAAAGATAAGATGTGGTATGATTTTACATATTTTACAATCATGACAAATCTTTGAAAATTATATAAATGCAAAGTTTTTAGTATTTGTTAGTTGGTATTATCATTTGATATAAAAATAAGGAGATGTAGTATGATTGCAAATGAGACAACTATCCACCAAAGTAAAAATAAAGAGATGTGGTATAATTGCCAATGAGACAACTATCTTCCAAAGTAAAAAAAGGAGATGTGGTATGATTGCCAATGAGAACTATCTGCCAAAGTAAAAATAAAGAGATGTGGTATAATTGCCAATGAGACAACTATCTTCCAAAGTAAAAAAAGGAGGTATGGTATGATTGCCAATGAGAACTATCTGCCAAAGTAAAAATAAGGAGATGTGGTATGATTGCCAAAGAGACAACTATCTGCCAAAGTAAAAATAAGGAGATGTGGTATGATTGCCAATGAGAACTATCTGCCAAAGTAAAAATAAGGAGATGTGGTATGATTGCCAATGAGACAACTATCTGCCAAAGTAAAAATAAGGAGATGTGGTATGATTGCCAATGAGAACTATCCACCAAAGTAAATATAAGGATATGTAGTATGATTGCCAATTCCAATGAGACAACTATCTGCCAAAGTAAAAATAAGGAGATGTGGTATGATTGCCAATGAGAATTATCAACCAGAGTAAAAATAAGGAGATGTGGTATGATTGCCAGTGAGAACTATCCACCAAAGTAAAAATAAGGAGATGTGGTATGATAGCCAATGAGACAAATATTCGCCAAAATTTAAATAAGGAGATGTGGTATGATTGCCAATGAGACAACTAGCCACCAAGTAAAAATTAGGAGATGTGGAATAATTAGGGCCCTACGGAATGGAGGACCCCCTATAGTGATCAGGATGTCCGTCCGTCTGTCCATCCATAACAAATTGTGTCCGCTCTATATCTAGAAAACCGTTATGATTTCAAAGTTTATACTTGACATGTATATTAACCAACACCAGAGGGTGTGTCATAATGTATGTACAACTTCCTAGGTCAAAGGTCAAGGTAAAAAAAATTGGTTTTAGTTGACAATCCCATGTCCTATGGTAAAGATCGTGTCCGCTCTATATCTTGAGAACCGTTATGATTTCAAAGTTTTTACTTGATATGTATATATATAAACCAACACCAGAGGGTGTGTCATAATTTATGTTCAACTTCCTAAGTCAAAGGTCAAGGTCAAAAACTTTGGTTTCAGTTGACAACCCCATGTCCAATGATAAAGATACCAATTTTTTACCACACATTATTCACAGCAGGGCCCACAGAGATGGCTCCCATCTCAATGATATCTAGTTGCCTATGAGACAACTATCTTCCAAAGTAAAAATAAGGAGATGTGGTATAATTGCCAATGAGAACTATCCCCAAAAGTAAAAATAAGGAGATGTGGTATGATTGCCAATGAGACAACTATCCGCCAAGTAAAAATTAGGAGATGTGGTATAATTGCCAATGAGACAACTATCTTCCAAAGTAAAAATAAGGAGATGTGGTATGATTGCCAATAAGAACTATTTGCCAGAGTAAAAATAAGGAGATGTGGTATGATTGCCAATGAGACAACTATCTTCCATAGTAAAAATAAGAAGATGTGGTATGATTGCCAATGAGAACTATTTGCCAGAGTAAAAATAAGGAGATGTGGTATGATTGCCAATGAGACAATTATCCGCCAAGTAAAAATAAGGAGATGTGGTATGATTGCCAATGAGAACTATCCGCCAGAGTAAAAATAAGAAGATCTGTTATAGTAAAAATAAAGAGATGTGGTATGATTGCCAATGAGAACTATTCGCCAGAGTAAAAACAAGGAGATGTGGTATGATTGCCAATGAGAACTATCCGCCAAAGTAAAAATAAGAAGATCTGCTATAGTAAAAAAGGGGATGTTGTATGATTGCCAATGAGAACTATTCCTCAGAGTAAAAATAAGGAGATGTGGTATGATTGCCAATGAGACAACTATCCGCCAAGTAAAAATAAGAAGATGTAGTCATTGCCAATGAGACAACTATCTTCTAAAGTAAAAATAAGGAGATGTGTTATGATTGCCAATGAGAATTATCCGCCAAAGTAAAAATAAGAAGATCTGCTATAGTAAAAATAAAGAGATGTGGTATGATTGCCAATGAGATATTCGCTAGAGTAAAAATAAGGAGATGTGGTATGATTGCCAATGAGAACTATCCGCCAAAGTAAGAATAAGAAGAACTGCTATAGTAAAAATAATTGCCAATGAGACAACTATCTTCTATAGTAAAAATAAGGAGATGTGGTATAATTGCCAATGAGACAACTATCTTCCAAAGTAAAAAAAGGAGATGTGGTATGATTGCCAATGAGAACTATCTGCCAAAGTAAAAATAAAGAGATGTGGTATAATTGCCAATGAGACAACTATCTTCCAAAGTAAAAAAAGGAGGTATGGTATGATTGCCAATGAGAACTATCTGCCAAAGTAAAAATAAGGAGATGTGGTATGATTGCCAAAGAGACAACTATCTGCCAAAGTAAAAATAAGGAGATGTGGTATGATTGCCAATGAGAACTATCTGCCAAAGTAAAAATAAGGAGATGTGGTATGATTGCCAATGAGACAACTATCTGCCAAAGTAAAAATAAGGAGATGTGGTATGATTGCCAATGAGAACTATCCACCAAAGTAAATATAAGGATATGTAGTATGATTGCCAATTCCAATGAGACAACTATCTGCCAAAGTAAAAATAAGGAGATGTGGTATGATTGCCAATGAGAATTATCAACCAGAGTAAAAATAAGGAGATGTGGTATGATTGCCAGTGAGAACTATCCACCAAAGTAAAAATAAGGAGATGTGGTATGATAGCCAATGAGACAAATATTCGCCAAAATTTAAATAAGGAGATGTGGTATGATTGCCAATGAGACAACTAGCCACCAAGTAAAAATTAGGAGATGTGGAATAATTAGGGCCCTACGGAATGGAGGACCCCCTATAGTGATCAGGATGTCCGTCCGTCTGTCCATCCATAACAAATTGTGTCCGCTCTATATCTAGAAAACCGTTATGATTTCAAAGTTTATACTTGACATGTATATTAACCAACACCAGAGGGTGTGTCATAATGTATGTACAACTTCCTAGGTCAAAGGTCAAGGTAAAAAAAATTGGTTTTAGTTGACAATCCCATGTCCTATGGTAAAGATCGTGTCCGCTCTATATCTTGAGAACCGTTATGATTTCAAAGTTTTTACTTGATATGTATATATATAAACCAACACCAGAGGGTGTGTCATAATTTATGTTCAACTTCCTAAGTCAAAGGTCAAGGTCAAAAACTTTGGTTTCAGTTGACAACCCCATGTCCAATGATAAAGATACCAATTTTTTACCACACATTATTCACAGCAGGGCCCACAGAGATGGCTCCCATCTCAATGATATCTAGTTGCCTATGAGACAACTATCTTCCAAAGTAAAAATAAGGAGATGTGGTATAATTGCCAATGAGAACTATCCCCAAAAGTAAAAATAAGGAGATGTGGTATGATTGCCAATGAGACAACTATCCGCCAAGTAAAAATTAGGAGATGTGGTATAATTGCCAATGAGACAACTATCTTCCAAAGTAAAAATAAGGAGATGTGGTATGATTGCCAATAAGAACTATTTGCCAGAGTAAAAATAAGGAGATGTGGTATGATTGCCAATGAGACAACTATCTTCCATAGTAAAAATAAGAAGATGTGGTATGATTGCCAATGAGAACTATTTGCCAGAGTAAAAATAAGGAGATGTGGTATGATTGCCAATGAGACAATTATCCGCCAAGTAAAAATAAGGAGATGTGGTATGATTGCCAATGAGAACTATCCGCCAGAGTA